CTGATCCTGCGTCCAGGACGAGGAGGCCGAGGGCTTAGAGGACCTGCCCAGAGCCTCCCAGCCGGTCAGGCCACCAGCATCCCCGTCAGGGACTGCAGTGCCCTCTGGCCAGCCTCTGCTGGCCCCGGCTCCCCTGGATTGGGAGAAACTGTGGCTCGCCCTGGCTGTGTCTCTCCTGCCCCCGGCTGGCGGGCACCACGATGCCTGCCATCCTGTTTCCTGCTGGCTGCCCGTGCCCCACATCAGGGCAGGACCCTCGGGAGCCTCCGGAGTCCCAGGGTCAGCTCCAGCGGCACTGCACTGCTGCCTGGGGGCCAGCGCACGGGCACCAGGCGAACCGGTGGGCCACGCTCTGCAACCCGTGTCTCGGGCAGCGGGCTCGGCCACTGCGTGGGATCTCGAGGCTGGAGGTCAGCCTGACACTGCCCGCTGGGCCTGCCCTGGTGCCCGTAGCCACCTCTGAGCAAGCAGCAGCCCCGACAGTGACCTGAGGCTGTGGGCCAGCAGAGGTTGGTGCTCAACTGTCCGGCCCCTGGGTGGCAGGGAGGCAGGGTTCAGATGGCGGGGGATGCGGCAGCGGGCACTGGGGGCCGTGTCCGTGAAAGACCAAAGCCCCGCAGGCCTTGTGCTGGCCCAGCTGCCGTGTCCTGCCCGTCAGACCCTCTGTGTGGGCCTCGGGCTCCAACACGCTCTGTGCTCCAGCCCGGTGACTCCCCCTCTGGAGGCGCACCCTGGGGGTGACGTGGGACAAGGGGAGGGGACAAGGGTTCTGAGTGTCCCGCAGTGAGGTGCCCCCAGGACATGGCCACTTGGCCCCCGGGAGAGTGTCACGTGGTACGAGTGCCAGCGAGGTGCCAGCGAGCACAGAGCCAGCTGTGCCAGCCGATGGCAGCGTGAAGGAGCGGGTCCGAGTGAGCTGAGGCCGGAAGGGGCCTGGAGAGCCGCAGGGTGTGTGGAAGGACATCCCTCAGCGTCACCAAGTTCTTGTAGCCTCAGATGGAGGGGCGCGTCCTTGTCACTCAAGTCTGTCATCTCTGGCCGCGGGGGAGCCTCCTGGTCTTGCTCTGAAGCGAGCCCTGAACAGCTGTGTGACCTTGGGCAGGTTCCCTCACCTCTCTGGACCTGCCTCCTGTTCTGTGGAAGGCCCTAGACTCCTGAGATCTAGGAGCGTCCACTGGGCACCTCCTGGGTGCAGACCCGGGTGCCTGGCCGTGGCACGTCCCAGTCCCATGTGCGGTGAGGCAGGGACTGTGACCCCAGATCTTTGGGAGTCCGTCCGTCTGTCTTTCCCGTCGTGGGCTGAACCCGGTGCTCTCCCTGAGCCGCGTCCACAGCTGCTGCTGTTATTTTGAGTCAGGGTCTCGTCCATCGCTGGGATCGTCCTTGAACTTCAGTCCTCCTGCCTCACCCTCCCAGGGGGTCACAGGTCGCGCCACCGTGCCCGGGGACGTCGGTTCCCTTTCTTATGGTTTCTGTTGGGGTGCTGCGGGCGGGCGTGGTGGTGGGATCTGTGTCACGCGTGGGTCCCTGCACACGGCGTGACCATCCGTGTTGGCCAGTGTGGGCGCTCTTGCTGAGGGACGTGCCCACGGGGCTCCCCCGGGGGACGATGTGGCCCCCACCCGGGAAGGCGGGCGGGGGAGGGGCTGGGCTCCTGTGGCTTGGGGACGCCTCTCCCGGTCAGCACTGCGGTGCCCATGGGCCCCTTGTGCATATGCCTGGACCGCTGGGGAGGCCCCCTTGTGACACCTGGCAGTGTCACTGCAGTGTGAGGGGACACGGGAGCTGTGCTCTGCCCTGGCTCTGGCACTTTGTGCTGTGTTAGCCGGGACCAGATTCCCGCTGTCCGCTGCCCGCTGTCCTTGGAGAGGTGGCCCCTTCGAGGCTGCCCAGGGCCTGTGAGAGGCGTGCACGGGAGTGAGGCGGAGGCTGCCGGGCACCTCCTGCCAGGCTGGGGCTGGCACCGGCGTCCATCAGAGACCAGAGGGTGACGTCATGTGAGCCTTGGGTTGCGTGAGCGGAATGCCGCTGGCCCTCCTCCATGTGGGCGGGAGCTGCCCCGGGCCCCACTCAGCTGGGGGAGGTGACCGTGGGGGGTGAAGTGTTCCCCAGGTCATGTCCCTTGGAACCTGTGGATGGGACCGCGCTTGGAAGTGGGGTCTTTGTCACTGTCATTGAGTTATAGGGGCCTCATGTGTAGATGGGGGCCACTCCATTGGCGTCCTGTGTGAGCTGGGGTTTGGGCACGTGCCCCAGGGAGACGCCAGGGCGGCCTCCGGCTGCAGAGGCCGAAGCAGCCTCCCGAGGGGGCCTCCCGTCACAGCCTGGACCAGCTCCTGGCTCTGGAGCCCTCGTCAGCTGCCCAGTCTGTGGCCCTAGATCGGGGGCCCTGGGACACCAGTGCAGAGCTGTGGACCTCCTCTGTCCCCGGTGGCCCTCTGTGGGGACTGCGTGGTTACAGGACTTCAGAGTGTCCAGCGTGGTTACAGGACTTCAGAGTGTCCAGCTGGGGAGCAGCAGGCCTGGTGCAGTGTGTCGGGGGCTGGGAGCCCCATGGAAGGAGGTGGCAGGGCTGGGGCCTCGTCCTTCCCCTCCTGGGCCAGTCTGGCCTTCCTGGGGGTGGGGGTTGGGGCCTGGGTGCAGGTCAGGGTGACGTGGACCCCGTCACAGTGGGGGATGGGCAGAGGTCAGGTGCTGGGGGTGAGCTTCATCTCCCGGGTCGACCCCTCCCCTGCTCCTCGGCTCCGGGGCACTGGCTAGTCCCCTGCGGGCGCCTCTGGCCTGCTCAGCCCCACCCCTCCCGGCCTCAGTCTCCCGCGTGGAGGGAGGCTGGGGTGCGCTGGGTTAGGGCACCCTCAACAGCCCGGCACTCTGGCCTGGGGTGAGGTCTGCACCCACGGGCTCCCTCTTCGCCTCAGGTCTCCTGCTGGGACCTGGCGTGTGTGGGTCACCTCGTCTGCACCCTGGAACCGAGGCACGGGCCTGGGCGGAGAGCCTGCCTGCTGGGCTGGGGGCCGGGCTCATGGCGTCATCTAACACACTGCAGAGTGGGAGGTGTGGGGGCCACAGCTCCAGGAAGTCACCCCTCCATGACCATTGCTGCCCTTGGGCCTTTTCCTTCCTTTGGGTGGTCAGGGCCTTTTAAAATAGGAGCTGGGGAGGGGTGTAGACAAGTCCTGGTGTAGACGAGTCCAGGTGTAGACTAGCCACTGTGGGTGAGTGGGCTCCAGGGTCTCTTCAGTGTCAAGCCACGTGCTGCCACTGCTGTGTGACCTTGGACAAGGTTCTCAACTTGTCTGTGCCTGTTTCTTCCTCAGGAAGGTAGTGGCTAACTCCCACTGGGTGGGTGACAGAGTCAGTGTGCTGGTGTGCAGGCTGCGGAGCCAGGCTGGCTGCAGGGTCTGGGCTGCAGGTAGAGTCCTGTGACCTGCCTCCAGGGTCCCCAGACCTACCAGCATGCTGTCCTGAGGCCTCCAGGTCAGCTCATGTCCTCCCGCGGCCCCTTGGCCAGCCGCTGCTCCTGCCGACACGCCGTGTGCTCCTGGCCCCGGCCGCCCCTCGGCCTCCTCTGAAGGCCCCGTCAGGTGGTCTTCTCCTGGGGTCTCCCTGAGGCTCCGTGCCTCGTTGGTGGCCGGGATTGTGTGGGGGGCCGTCGGATCCTCCCTTACCCAGGTGGCCGTGGGCAGTGACGGCCCGGCTGCTCCCCCAGCTCTGCTGCTGCTCGGTCCCCTGGGCTGGCTGTCGGCCGTTCCTGTTGGTCTGTCTGCCTCCTGTGGCTTCCAGCACCTGCTGGGCACCCGCCGTGTGCTCGGGCGACCGCCGCCCGGCTCTGTTGTGAAGGTCCCCGCGGGTTTCTAAGTAAAAATAATTCCGTTTGTCCATGTGTCCAGGGGGCACGGGTCCGCGGGTCAGATGGCCTATGTGGCCATCTCAGGTCACCTTGCAGACCCCTCCTGGGCACCCGAGGAGGCACGTTGCCATCCAGGGAGACAGGCGTCCCCTGCAGCTCTGTGTGTGGCCGTCACAGCCTCCTTCCACCTGGCCCCCTCCTGGGGCCCTTTCTGTCCCTGCAGCATGTCCCAGGTGCCTCTGGGGCAGCCCTTGCCGCAGCCCAGGGGCTGGGGCCGCGGTCCTTGCCCACTCTTGCCCTGTCCACAGACGGGCTTCGGCAGCTCTGTCCGGCCTGGCTGCCCGCTCTCTGCAGGCTGTGGAACAGATGGGCAGCGCTCCCCCTGGGCCCAGCGGGGAGAATCCTTGCTCTCCCCAGCTGCTCCAGGTGGGCCCGCTGCCCCGCCCCCAGCAAGCCGCAGCTGCTGGACTGGGTGGCCTGAGGGTGATGCCCCGGCACCCTCCTGGGGGGACCAGCAGGCCACCCTCCGCTCCTCCCGCTTCCCGAGGGCCAGAGGGGAATCCCGAGATGCTGGCCAGAAGAGCCCGGGGTGGCCCCGCGCCTCTGGTCCCCTCTGCAGTGGGTGGCTGTAAAAATAGCGCGAGGCTTGGGCGGGGGCCGCGGGCTGTCCCTGCTCCCGGAGGAGGAGTGCGGCCACATGTTGCCAGGCCTTGGCTGGGAGAGGCAAGCGGGCTCCAGGCCGGCGAGCGGGCGGCGGCGCAGATGGAAACTCGATCGCCCCCGGCTCCGCAGACTGTTTGATTTATTTTAAAATCAAGCAGATGGCCGCGCAGGGTTTGTTTAAGTTCAGCTCCGAGCCGGGCCCGCGGCCAGGAGCTCGGCAGCTGTGCCAGGGACTCTGAATGACTCGGGCGTCAGAGCACCTCTCCCCCCCTGAGCCCAGCCGCCACACACAGGCTTCCAGAGCCTTCTCCTGGCCGCCCTGCCGCACGGCTCGGGGGCGGCTCTGCGCCTTGCACCACGGGGCTGTGGCCGCCGCCTCCGGGCGTCTGTCTTTCTCCCAGCCCAGCTACTGCCCCTGCCCTGCCCTGTCCCCCGCCCCTGCCCTGTCCCCTGCCCCTGCCCCTGCCCTATCCCCCTCCCCTATCCTGCCCCCTGCCCTGTCCCCTGCCCTGCCCTCTTCTGCCCCTCCCTCCTGCCCTGCTTTCCCCCCAGCCCCACCCTGCAAGGCCCATGGAGTATGGCCAAGCCTTTGTGGCCTTCAATGTCCTCCCCTGTCCCCTCTCTGTGACGCTGTGGCTGGGAAAACCAGACCCCAACCATAAAGTCCTGGAGCAGGGCAGACACCAGGTCAAGAGCCTCATCCCGCTCAGAGGCAGCCCTGGTGACGGGCAGCATCTGCAGCTGTCCCTCCTGCTGGGCAGGTGGCTGGGCTCTGGCGAGGAGCCCCGCTGTGCCGTGAGCTTGCTGTGGAGGTCAACTGCTGGCCGTTGGTCAGCCGTGCCTGGTGCCCACGGCACACCGCCTCTCGCACACGCGCACCGCCCCGCGCACACCCCCACACGTGCATTCGCTACTCGTACATGCGCACGGCTGCACAGACAGCACCCGTGCCACCCCCCGTGTGCACAGGGTGAGCCGCGTCCCCACCCCCAGGGGATGAACGTCCCCTGCCAGGTGACAGCAGCCTCCCAGCCCGCCCAGGCCCCAGCCAGGCTGCCGCTCACCCACCTCCCCTGTGGGGCAGCATGTGCTGTCCACGCTGCGTGGCCACCTGAACAGCGGGGCTTTACGACAGGAGCCAGCTCTGCCAATCACCCCGTCGGAACGGAAGCTGCCGGCCCTGCAGGGTGCGGCCCCAGCCACCCCGGCACCGCGGCAGGGTGCCCGTGGCACGCCAGCTCTGCCTGGGCAGGGGGCCAGCCCCATGTCAGGCCACTCGGAGCCCGTGTTTTCTCCTCTATGGAGAGGCCAGGCCTCTGGCTGATCCGGGAGCTGACTCAGCCACCCCTCCCGGTGCTGTCCCACAGGGTCACCCGTGACCAGCAGGATGCCTCAGGGAAGGGGGAAGGGCCGCCCCTCCCTCTGTCTCTGACCATGTCCATGCTGGCGGGGGACAGCTCTGGCCACTGTTGGCCCCTCTGCTGTCTGTGTCCTGGGGTGGGCACCCGGCCTCATCCTGCATGAGACTCTGCCCTGGGCCTCGAGCCTCAGGGACATGTGTCCATAGGCACACCCTGTTCACATGTAGCGTGTGTGTCGGGGGCACACGGGGTGGCACGTGGCTGTCTGTGGCTTGAGGAGTGTGGGGTTCTGGGTTGGGCAAGTCTCCGGGGCCACCCTCTAGTTGGAGGTTCCCCGTGGTGTGGCCCATAGTTCCACAGGCCACCGGGGGTTGAGGGCCCTTCCCACCCTGGTGGCCGTGCACAGTGCCTGTGTGTGGGATCCAAGGTTTGCAGGAGCCTCGTGGTGCCCGGAGCCTCGCTGGGCACAGAGGACGCCAGGAGCCAGACCACAGGACCCACTCCCGACCTGGCTGGTCGCCCTCGGTCAGAACTGCGGGGAGATGGCTCTCCTGGGGACCCCGCTGGGTCGGCTGCCCGGCCACAGCCCTCCAGCCCCGGAGCTGTCCGGCCCCCTCCTTGGTGAGCAGAAAGGAGCGTGGAAGTCGAATGGCTGCGCATGGCCGGCCCCGCGGGTCCCCAAGAGTGTCTGCAGAGCAGTTGTGTGTTTTCCTGGTGACCTGGGGGAGGCGGGGACTCACGCCGGCCCTGGCCATTGGGATCTAGGAAGGGCCAGGGGGGCTTCTGACCTCACCTAAATCCCCCATCTCCTCATCTGAGGTGCCCGTGGACCGCGTCCAGCGCACCTCCTCCTCACGCCCCAGGGGGGCCCTGCGTCTGTGGCCAGCAGTGTCCTTGGACACTCTGGGGCAGATAGCCCCCACCCCCTGCACAGCTCAGAGGCCTGGGAGGTGC